GACTCTGGGCTGTGTTCTGGGGTCTGAGGGGCTCTGGGCTGGGTTTTGGGGATAAGGGGACTCTGGGCTGTGTTTTGGGGTCCGGGGGGCTCTGGGCTCAGTACTGCGATCCAGGGGGGTCTCTGGGCTGCGTGTGGGGTGCAGGGGATGCTCTCAGCTGCACAGTGGGATGGGGTCCCTGTCCCCAGGGCGGGTCCCCTGTGCAGCCGGGCCCCAGAGCTCCCCTGTGCCCCCCCCATCGCTGCCCCCCAGATCTCGGACAGGATGGGGCTCCTGACCCACCTCTACCACACCTTCGAGAAGTCCAAGTTCGCGGGGTTTTGCCAGAAGCTGGCAGAGGGTAGGGAGGCCCCTTCAGGGGAAGGGGGAGCTGTCCCTGCCCCCCTGGGCACTGTCACCCCGTTTGTCCCTCCCGGTGCCACTCCCCAATCTCTGCCCCGGGCACACCCTGAGCACCCTCTGCCCTCCTCGGGGGGGGGGACACACACGGGTGTCACCCCATCCCCTGCAGCCCAGCCCGGCTTGTGGGACCCCTGGGGGGTGCAGGGGGGGTCCCAGGTCCCCATCCCACCCCCCCACCCCGTCCCCAGGCGCCCAGGCCGGGGACCCTCTGTGCTGCCACATCTTCACCAAGGCGGGCGAGGTGCTGGCGCGGCACGTGGTGGCCGTGCTGCCCAAGATCGACCAGGTGAGCGCCCACCTGGGGCTGGGGAAGGGGGGCTCAGGGGTGGGAGGGGTCTCGGCACCCTCCCCTCACCCACCCCGACCCCCCCAGAGCCTGTTCCTGGGGGAGCTGGGGCTGCCCATCGTGTGCGTGGGCTCCGTGTGGAACAGCTGGGAGCAGATGCAGGCGGGTGAGCGCAGGGACGGGGGGGCGGGGGGGGCCCGGGGGTCCCTCGTGACCCCCCTGTGTGTCCCCCCCGTGTGTCCCCGTCCCCAGGGTTCATCCAGGTGCTGGCCCAGGCCCGGGATGAGGCCCCGGGCCGTGCGTTCTCCCGGTTCAGCCTCCTGAAGCTGAAGCGCTCGTCGGCCCTGGGGGGGGCCCGGCTGGGGGCCCGGAACGTGGGGATGGCCCTGCCCCTGGACAGAGCTGGGAACGTGGACGTGTTCTACACACACGTGTTCTGAGGGACCCCAAAAACGGGGGGACACGCCCCAAAAACGGGGGGACACCCCAGCAACGGGGGGGGGCTCGGACTGAGGGGTTTGTGGTTTGGCAAT